GAAATTTTTTTGTGAGTTAATTGTCAAGATTTATTAATTTCAAATGGCAGGCATTTTGATAGTAATCATTAGCCCTTTAGTTGACTTCGGGCTTTACAGAAGAGAAGAACATTAAAGTGAGAAAAATTCAACAGGGGAAAAGAAGAGCGATTCACAGATGTAAAAGAGACAGAGAGATACAAAGGCAGACAAAAGGTAAGATGAGTACAGTGAAAGTAGTCGAATATGGCATACAGTGGGGTCATGGTAGTTTGAAGTCAGAGGTCAACTGCCAGTTAATAGACTTTTTTGCCGTATGAGTATACGTTGCCCGGTATGCACCACATGGAGGCAAATCTATCGCACACCCCTTAATTGGCAAGATCAAAGAGAGTTATTTTGAATACTTACATTGTTAGAATTAGTTTACATTGGAATTCTATTATGAAATTCTGTAAAAGAGGTTAGATTCGGGAGATTGTATATCTGAGGATTTGATTTTTATAAGTTATCGCTCTTCTGTTTTATTGTAATTTTAATGAGGGTACTAGATGCATTAATTAGATTCAAATATTGTTAAAAGTCAAATCAAAGGAAGTGGGCGGTTTGAATGAGCAGATTTCAAGATTATTATAAGCAAAAGGTTGAACCGTTTGCTTTTGGTCAGGTCAACAGAGATCTACTTGAAGTGATGTACTGCTGTTATGATTTAAGAGACGCTGGATCTCAATTTATCTACTCTAAAAACTCAAACGATTTATAAATATTAAAAAAAGTTTTGATCGACAGATATAATGCTCAGTTGAGTGATCTCGCTTAATGTGAACACGATTCGGATGCAAATCTCGGCACTAACAAACTTGAATTGATCAATCACGAAGCAGCTTGTTTTCTATAAACTCCTTTTCCAGGTCCGGCAAAGAGTCAACAGTAAAAATTTCTCAAAATCTTGTTAATACACTGGTTGAAAAACATTTGGTAAGTGGTAGAGGAACAGCGATGATCGATCGCACAGTATCAAGTTCAGTAACATCTCGTCGAAAATCCCTGAGATCGTCAGGTAAAGGCAGCGCAAGAATGGTCAGAACTGCTTCATCTTCGCCAGCATTCTCCCAAATCCGATCGAATGGAACTTCACCTGAAGGCCGTCTACGGCGTCAACTGCAGAAGCACATGGTAAAGATTTATAATTTATCAACAATTAAAAAAAATTGAAGCACCAATTCAGAGCAGATGTTCACAGATTAGAATAAATATAAATGAACATTCGCATAGTTTATATTGAAGTTTATACTCAATAAAGTACAATCACGATTTATCATAAATGAAGTAGCTTTTCAGGCCGGAAGACTACATAATTAGACTTTCTCATATCTCATATTTGGGACTCACTTAGGAGACCATAGCGAGTGCTAATTGGAAGACTTAGGAACATGGACCAATTAAATGACCATTCTTAATCTCTAATGAACGGTAATCTCCAACATTTCTCTTTTCATGGACTTTGCAAATGCTTTCTTTGCTCATATACTACTTATATCAGACCAATGAAAATTGATTAGACGAACCGATACTTAAAACGTTAGATATAGGTTTGAGCTAGCTCAAAGGTAAATAAAAGAAATTCTCGTAAGAAATACAAATGGTTATGTGTATTTTTTTGAAAGCATAACATGAAATGTGATACGTGTTCTGCGCTTTCTGAATTTCTTTAACGTAAACGCGGTTAAAGTTTTGTCTGTAACATCGGCACAGTACTGTTAGAGCATAGATGGCCTTATTTCACAAATATGAATTTTCCTAAGTGACAGATATGTTTTCACATTTAAAAGCCACTTGATTAGGTGTTTCTTTTATAGTCTTTAAATGAATCAGCCAATATGGTATAGAATAATTTTAGTGGACTATTGGCCTACTAAGCAAAAATAAAAAATCCCCCACATAGTCACGAAAATTCAAATAGAGCACTCCCAATCTAGTGACCTTGGGATTGATAGATGACCCTTCAATTTCGGACTAATTAATCTGCTTGATTGGAAAGTTATTTATGCTTACTTGATTTGCTGAATAGCCCTTTTACCACTCACTTGATAGAAATTCATTAAAGCTCTCTTTTGAATGAAAACATTTTTAAAAAATTCAAGAATAATTGTTTATCTTAAAATATGTGGCCTAAAATTATGTTGTATTGAGCTTTGATGCTACCCAACACCCATCGCATCTCCACGTTTTCTCACTCATTAAGCGCTTTGTCATTCCATTTTACTTACTCGCACACGGCGAAAAATTGGAAATTTTCCTCCCTTGTTGCGTGTTTTAATAGAAGGAAAAAAGAATTATGAATGATTATATAGAAATGGTGAGCCAACGTTGGAGCGTCGAAAGAGGCGTAGCCCCTACAATGTTCCTTATTTATTTGACTGCTTGTCTCTTACTTAGCGGGTACCATTTATTGAACCGAACACTGCCGTAAGAAAATTGAGAGCTATCATTTTCGAACTAGGAGGATAATTCTGTCAACACTGCTCAAAGCTCAATGATAAGTGAACTGAAATTATATTTTGATTATGACGAAACGATTTGCTAGCCTTTCGTGAGACTCATAGAGTCGTTAGTTCGAGTAAGATTTTCTCGTAAAGCTTCGGGTTTAATGAAACCATTTTAGAGATTGAATAAGATTCTACTTATACAAATATAAGTAATATATTTTAGCCTTGCTTTACTTTATTTCGAATCTGCTAATGAGGCCTTCTTTTTGCCAATCTACCTTAGCTGTGGCACTGAGTTAACTGAAACCTTATCATTGTCTCGATTGCGGCTTTCAATTTTTTTTGATCTTTCATTGGGCATTAGTTCTCTCAGTTCACAGTAATAGCTGCGATTGCACAGAATTCAATTAACAAAATCGTGTTTTTGTATATCAAACCCCATTCTTGAACATCTGTGCAAGCTTGTTAAAAAATATTTAACCATCATTACCTGTCAAAATGTACATTCCTTAAATTGAAAATATTATCCGAAATTCATTTCGATTTGAAGTGGGGTTTACAGCCATTTGGGGAAGAACATCTATATAGCAGTCATTTTACCATAGTGGCAATTAAGTACGCAAATTAGGAGAAAGTGTAATTCTCACATTTTAGGGCAACATTAAAGGTTACTTGATTGCGTAATTGCTGAAACGTTTGAATTTTGATTTAATAAATGTGTGTGTGTGCTTTTCACTGCACTAATGTTGCGTTTGAAGGTCTTCGCTCCACTCCCCGTAACTAATTAATTAGTCAGTCTAGTATGGTGACAAATACAATTGTAGGCAATAGTAAATTGGGAAATACAAAGAAAGATTCAGAAATCGACTTGATTCACTCTCCTCAAAATGTATAAAGGGAAGGAACCACCGTGATGGGAGAAGCAGACAATCGGATTTAGGTGGTGAGCACTAGTTTAGTCCTTCCAATGCTGTTAATCGATATTTTTTCATGTTTTTCTTCACTTCCACACATAACAAGATATACAAGCGACGTTATCAAGATGCGCGCTTAGTTTTTGTTTCATGCTGCTAGTTGGACTTCGTCAGTTTAGAGCTGGCCATCTCAAATCCTATGAATGCTTAGCTTTTACCTCTTGGAAACTTTTCTAAGAGCCTCAACGGACCCAGAGCTGAAAGATGGAAAGAGTGGACGATGTTGTGGAAATGTCAATTGTTATTTTAAATGGTGAACTCATCCCAAGTGTCCAAATAATAGAAAGAGTGGACAGCAGACAGTGAAGAGCTTGTAGTGGGCAAAGGTGAATACCATCAATTCCACTTTATGAATCACCAAAATGAAACTGAACGTATGCAGTAATTCTTGATAACTAGTTGATCTTTGGAATTCGATCAGGTCACAGGTTTTATTTAAATAGATAAATTTGATAAAATAAATAAACAAGAGAACATAGTAATATAAATTTCAATTTCCTCAAAACAGATGCTCGTGTCTCGTTTGCAATTGAACCTGTTGAAAGAACGCCAAAAACATGAAGTATGGAATTTCTGTTTTGGTTAAATTTTCGTTCATTTGTTTGTTCGTACAAAAAAGTGTTTTTTTAAGGTTAAAACCTCGTGCATACATATTTAAATTAAATTATTTTTTCTTTATTTTTATATGTGGTCTAATAGTTTTCCAAAATTTCAAGTAGCAATTTAAATAAATATGTAAAAATTGAGCAATCATGGTTTAAGCAAAAGCAGACTTTCTAAATTAAATTTATGACAATTGCTGTTTCATTGCGATACATGCATTCGTGCTCATGGCTTTCTGAATCCAATTTTATATGAAGCGTAAACAAAAAAAAATTGTGGAAAATTTTATGGTTGGCCGTTGGAACGTAACTGACACTCCATGCTCCATATTTAGGGACAAAATCACCCGCCTTATCCCCACCACAACGACTATGCCCTTCATGATCTCTATAATCGATTAAATGGCACCCTTGCTCATGTGGAAAAAATAGTCAATAAAATTGAAAATTCTCCGAAATCTAAGTAAGCCACTTTTCAACTTTTTAATTTTAAGTTTTATACAAATAGGGGTAATGACTATTTTACTTCTACTTAGGATCAGCAGATCGGAAGCTGATCAGCTCATTTTAATCCAATCGGCGCTTCGTGAGTTGATAACTCCAATGCGACGTCAGTTAGACTCTGACAAAGTCAGTCAAGTCCTCTCAACAAAGTCATCAAAAACAAGCTCTAATGCCTCCTACTCCAGTCTGAGAAGAGTGAAATCGAAAGCCTCTTCCTCTTACTCTCGAAAAGTTGAATCCACTGAGTCTATCCAGACGGTTTCGAACAAAAGTCAACCTTGTCGGGTGAGTCACGATGTCTCTTTCCACTTTGATTAATAGCGAAAACAGAATGGAAACCATAAATTTTGGGTGCTTCATTTATACCTCTTTCAAGAAAAAGATATACTGTCCAGGAAAATCTTATAGGGGGGGGGGGGTTGCTTGATTTATCTACAGAAACCTCTATGACAAAATACCCTAGCTTGAAATGGCTGTCGAAATTCGTTAAGCTACCTCAGTGATATGGAAGTAACGATCGAATCGTGTATATGGCGTTTATTGGAATTATGCCCACCGCAATATGTTTAGCAATTGAATAGATTTAATATAATTTGAATGAATATTAATAGTTGAATAGCCTAGAAGGTTTCTGCACGCAGAACCTTATCCTTCAGCATTTTCAAATGCATATGAGAGTGCTTAGTTTAATTGTGCACTCTATATTCAATATACCATTTGAAGGAATTTCGAAGGCAACTCAGAAAGGCGCTTATTTTTGGTAGAAATTTTACATTTCAGATTATTCTGAAAACTTTTAATTAGCAATTGACTATAGTATGCGAAGGTTATACCACTTTCCCATAATTTAGGTGACTTAAATAGGTCAAAACCGGAAGGATTGCTACCAAAAGTGCTTTTTTTCTCGCAGCACGAAACGACAAGATTCTGCCTTCTACCAAATGCACTGGGAGCTTATATTAGTTTGATTGTTGTTTAAGTGAAAAGGAAAGCTAAAAGTGCGATTTTGTCTAATTG